ATAACTGAATTTCAGAATCTTATTCAGACATTTTGTGCTTCAGTGGTAGGCCTATGTGGTAAGTGGAATGGATGGACTTTTAATGGACAGACTTACATTATTATTCCATTATCTTTATAGGTTACACTTTATTTTGATAGTCCACTTTAGACATTCTACTAACTATAAGTAACTTAGTTACTTACTGTTAGTAGAATGTCTAAAGTGGACTATCGAAATAAAGTGTTACCTCTTTATATTACAATCATTGTGAAAAGCACTACAAAAATAAACATGAATTGAACTTAAAGTAAGAACATCTGACCATCTGTATGAAGGAACATATTCACATATTCTAACATTTTGGTTAATGCTGAAGCTGAATTAGCAAGTGTGCTCAAGTGCAAGAGCAACTGCATTGCTAATTCATTATTGCTAGTTTTCGTGTGAGCAATTTTGTGTGTTTCTGCATGGATGTCTGTAATTGAGAGCTGTGAGTGTAACCTGAATAAACAGTTCAAAATGGTATGTGTGTTGGAGTGTAAATCTCATTTTCTCCTCATTCCTTTCTCTCATTGGTTCATTAGGCCTAGCATTATTAGCACTGGCTGGTGGCTATGATCCCAGTCTATGCTAGCTAAACTAAAAATCACTGTAGTAATCTTGTACCCCAATATTTGTCTTTTTGGGTGAACTATCACTTTAAATATATCCTATATACACTATACATAGAAATTTGGACGAGAAATGGTCTGGGTTAAGTCACTATATTTATGTAAAACAAGGTATTCGGCATTACGCTGTTTACAAATGCAGTCTTCAACAAATGGATTTTAAATGGACTTAAGTTCCTGTGAATATACTATACAGCAGAGGGTTGTGATCCATTGATTTAAAACCATCTAAAAATAATTTCATGGACTCAAACACATCCATCACTGTTGCTCTTATAGCCAGCTGAACATTCAGTGGCTGTTACTGAAGACGCAATTACTACTATCCCAGATTCAACTGCACCATTCTAGATATGCACAACTTCATTACCTTTAGTTGAGTGAAGCAAGATTATACATAAATGCACAGGTTTGCAACAAAATAACAGTGTGAGGTTGATGCACTAATGCGAATTTAATTAGAATACTCTTAAACTTACTATTAATTGTCTTTTTGAAAAAGAAGCGCACAAGTGTATTCAGTGTGTATTCATTTCAAATCTTATATTTTTCAGATGGACTTAAGTGGGTCAAAATCACTCATAAGTTCAACTAATTGCATTTAATATAAAATTAAACTATTATAAATTTTCTTTTAATTGCAAATTGTATGCAATTAATACCCAAGCATAGCTGTTATGTCTGGAAAAGCGTGGATGAAAAAGGCAATAGATATTTGTTTTGTTTTGAATTTGAAAGTTCGATAATGCTTAGAAACGTAATCAAGATCAAACGGTAAAAGTATTTTATATAATTTTTATTTAATCAATACTTTTGTTGACATTAGCATTTCTGTCACAATTTTACCCAAGATAAAAAAAATCCAGCCCTGTATAAGTATTTAATATATTTACCACAGAAAATAATAGACTAATTTGTACCTGAAAAAAATCAAAATCTGTTGCAGTATCACACTTAATTCTGATGGAAATCCTTCTATAATATAGACCTGATCCACCATAACAGAGCGAAACAAAGTAAGGAGACACAAAAAACATTACATTCAAAGTATATTTTAGTTTAGTAATTTTATTAAGCATTTACACAGAGAATTATTCTGGTATACAACTGAAGAAAATGTAGGCCTATTTATTATTACACAAGGAAACATTAACCAGATAGATGTTTACTCGTACAAAACACTAGAGAACGCAAATAAGAAAGCTTATCAATCAGCAGTGTATAGGCGATACGCAGTGGATGAGGGTTGGAGGTCACTGGCGGGGACCGATGTTCCTCTGGGGTCCCGGCTGTGGGCCGGTCTGCTGCTGCTGTAACTGATGGCGCAGCTGCTGGGAATAAGGGTCTTCCAGAGACTTGACTGATACGGTGGTTTTCGGTCCGGTCTTCCATTCGATCCCACTGGTGTCTACAACCGAGGCTTCGACAGAGACGATGTGAGTGCCCAGGATGGAGAAGTTGAGCAGGAACTGTGTGCTGAAGTAATCATTATGAGGCTACATTGTTTGTACTACAAAATGGAATAGAATAGTGCATAAGTTTGTGAATTGGGCGCAGCTTTTGTCAGTAGTTGGCGACAAGAACTTTTCACAAAAAAAACAAAAACAAATTTCACTGTTTTTTGATCCTGACACAAAATGACCAGCTAACATTAACTGACTAATCATATCAGCAGCACATGTGAAAGTGTGAATGAGTACTAGTCAGGTAAAATAACTATCATACTAATTAGATAGTAAGAGCAGACTGAGGCCATGTCCACACGTACACGGGTAAGTTTTTCCTTCTTCCGTTTAAAAAAAAAATGAAAACGCATGCTATGAAGCACTGTCAAGAGCATGCCAAACCAACAGGTGGCGAGTGGACAGGGCCTGATGGAGGGAAGAAGCTCTTCCAATCATTGTGTTCATGTTAGCAATGGTTACCTCCAAAGAAACACGTGCACCCATCATCGCTTTGCATCAAAATGGCTTCACATGCAAGGAAATTGCTACAAAGAATACTGCACCTGAAAGAACCATTTACCGGATTATCAAGGAGAGAGGTTCGACTGCAGTGAAGAAGTCTTCAGGACGTCCCAGAGTGTCCAGCAAG